AAATGGTTGGAGATCAAAAAGGAAATTGGAAAGAGGGGCATAGCAAGCTGGCAACCTCTCTGGGACCCATTTCAGAAAACCCTGGGAGCAAACATTGATACATTCACTTTAGGTCTTCTTCTCTTTTTTTTTTGTCCCTTAGAGTGTTGGGCCTATCCAATCTATGTGACTTCTTTATGCAGAGTACAAATCAGTCTTATTGTGGTTAGAATGCAGTTTTGGAGGCAAACACTGCCCACAGCCTGGAATTCGATCCTGTCCAGCTTAAGGTTGACTCAGCCTTCTGTCCTTCCTAGGTCAGTAAAATGAGGATCCAGACATTTTAAACTGCCCAGAGTGTGCTGTAAAGAACTATGGACTGGTATATAAGTCTAAGTGCTATTGCTGTTGCTATTGCATCCCATCACTCATTCAAACTGACACCCACACATGGTATGGATTGACTGCATTTTGGCCCAATGGGGTCGGCACTAAATGAATAAACTTCCAAAATTTGCCAAATCTTATTTCGAACTCCCATGAGGACTTAGCGCCATCCCAGGTGTTTCGGACCATGGATGAATGGAAAGAAGACTTTTTGAAAGAGGTGTCGTGGACAATATCTGAACGTGTCATAAGTGTCTGCAAAGGTGAGGCTACATTTCCCTGAAAACTGCAGTAGGATCATTATCCAGTTATTCAAGAAAAGGGGAGACTGTTAAACTCAAGGCACGTCTTCTTCTCCTATTATTGATAAGGTACAAAGACTTTTTACTTGACCTATGAATCAGGAACGAGCAACGCTCTCCTGGACATCAAATAAGAATGTAATTATTCACTTCTGCGATCAAAGGAGACAAAAAAGGTTTATATTCTGGAACTTTTTAAGTAGTTCAAAGTAATGTTGGGAACATCACTAAACATCTGTTAAGCCTATAAGAAACTCTGGTTTGTAGAAAGGTAACAGAAATGTGGGATAATTATGCTTGTGGCATTAAGCTCAAAGAATACTTAGATAGTGGGCTTATAATCACATTTTCATTTACCAGAATCAACTAAGCATTGATGTGGCCTGAGCTTCATTACAATATTGGAAAAAATGATAATTTTCACAGCACAATAATAATAAAGACAACATTCCATGATAATGCTGAACATATTTATTTGTATTTTTTTTTTTAGAGAAAGCCAGTGTTAACCAGTATTCACAATTGAGAGAAAGTGTCCTCAAATCAACAGAAAGAAATATTGCTGGAACCCTGCTCAGAAGAAAGTAGCATTTTCCCTTTGATATGGAAGCCAGAAAGAGAAAGTATTGGAGGGATGCTGTGGATTTGATTTTTGACAAATGCAGTCGATGAATCTATAAAAAAAAAGTGAAACATTGACATAAAAAGTGTATGCCCAAAGCAATTAATATTCCAGACTTTTGCCTTCAATCTCCCCTTTACCCTCCATGATAATAGTGCCAATAATCTACGTCAGCAGCCCCCAAAACTTTGGGGACCAGGGACCGGTTCTGTGGAGGCCAGTTTTTCCATGGACTAGAGCAGGGGTAGGCAACCTTGGCTCTTTTATGACTTGTGGACTTCAACTCCCAGAATTCCTGAGCCCAGCTGGCTCAGGAATTCTGGGAGTTGAAGTCCACGAGTCATAAAAGAGCCAAGGTTGCCTACCCCTGGACTAGAGGGTTCCTGGCAGGCTGTGGTCCACAGCACAGGTGTTGGGGACTCCCAATCTACGTATTTGAAAGCAACTTGTTGTAAAGTCCCAGGAGAAATCTGCACACTGAACATTTTTATTAAAACAAAGAGTATCCGTCATACTCACTGGTATACATCTTCATACTGAGATGCTTTGATTTACTTTAGCTGGAAAAATAAAATCAGAAAATCAATTCAGTACAAAATCACTGGAGCGTTCATTCTATTGTGGACATTCCTAGGAATTAGTATTGTTTAGTTGCTGCAATAGACACAATGGAGGGTAGTTGTAATTGTGTCTCAATAGTTGCTGAATTGATTCCTCCCTGAAATATTCTGCAGAGCAGCCTTTGGTTAATTTCAAGAGGAGCAAGAGATATAAACAAGGCCAAGCACAGTCTACATGACTCTTCCATCCTCTGCAATTTGCAGCCGTATCGATCCTACACATAAGCACTTGTGGAGAAACCAGCATATGGGTATTGGCACTTAACTCCTTAAAAACAAAACTTCCTTGTGCTGTTTGGAAGAGCTAAACTGGCAAAGTCATTCTGAGTAGTAATTCCTAAGAAAAACCGAGTGAAATTTTCAGATCACGGGAATCAAATCAGCAACGTAGATGATCCTCACTTACCAGCGGTAAGATGCTCTGTTGCTAAACAACACGGTCATAATGCACAAGGTCATGTGACCATGCCAAATTATCACTGCAGTTGCAACAGTTCAAGTTGCCATCGTGTCCCACAATCACATGCCTGCTTCCCCGCTGGCTTCATTTGTCATAACAGAGTTCACATAACTGTGGAATGCTGAAACCAATGCAATTATGTGGATCCATGACATATAGTCCTCGTTCAGTGCTGCCCTCACTTCAAAGATGCGTGAATTTGTTGCCCTTAAATGACAACTACCTTTTTTTTTTTATTACCCACTGAAATAGACAGCTTGCTAATAGTTATGTTCTCTGAAGGACTTCCTCCAAAACTTGTTAATTTTCTGCAGGGAGTAATGGATAGGCTAAAGCAGTGTTTTTCAACCTTGATGACTTTAAGACAGGGCTTTTCAACCAGTGGTACGGGTACCACCTGTGGTACATTGGCACCTGGCAGGTGGTACGCGAACATCCTAGAAAAGTGGTAGCGGGGGAGGGGAATGAGCTGAACCGGCAACTGATTCATATTTATGACGGTCACAGTGTCCCAGGGTCATGTGAAGTGACCAAAACCTGCTGCAACCACCCAGCAGAGGGGGGGGAATAAAAACCAAACATCCCCCACCCCCACTGTCAATCCTCAACAGAAATGCTCACAACAATGAAAACCTCGGACAGGAGGAAGAGCGCGGCCAGCAGGGCAGGCAGGTGTCTTGCTCGGCTGTGGCTTGGGGGGGGGCACTTTTTTCAGTGCCATTGTAACTTCGAACAGTCACTAAGAGAACTGTTGTAAGTTGAGGACTACCTGTACTTTATCACTTTTTCCTTTTTTTTTTTTTTGGTCATCAGGTTTTTGACACTTGCTAGGTGGTACTCGGATGCTGCCATAGCCTAAAAGTGGCACAATGGGTGAAAAAGTTGAAAAGCCCTGCTTTAAGATGTAGGGACGTCAACTCCTAGAATTCCTCAGCCGGAATAATGCCAAGTATTAGTTCTAGTGAAAGCTGAGCAGCCTAGAACCTTCCATTTTTGCTAGCTTAATTCTATCTGTAAGTAGGGGAAAATATTCTTGACTTTGAGGGCCAGCAGAACCTTCTTCGCTTGCCTTCAAAGGAACAGGCCTTCAAGAATTGGCATACTTTCATACTTACATGGCCTTTGGAGGCAGAAGTCGTTTTATGAGTGTTGCCAGATGTTCCAGATGCAGCAGTCAGAGACAATTCGGATGTACCAGAGGGCTTAGTGCCAGGTGAAAGTAAGGTAGCAAGGCTGGATTGTGCAACAGGATTTCCAGAGGTAGACAAAGACGGTCCAGGTGCACCAGAGGGCTGAGCTCTGGATGGAACTGAGGAAGCAGAAGGGGGTTGTGCAGAGGCACCAGGTCTTCCAGATGCAGCCAAAGACAATTCAGATGCACCAGAGGGCTGAGCTCTGGATGGAACTGAGGAAGCAGAAGGGGGTTGTGCAGAGGCACCAGGTCTTCCAGATGCAGCCAAAGACAATTCAGATGCACCA